TAGGAGGAACTTAACTGAGGAAGAAGGGGGAGAAGAAGGGGGGAAATGGTGGGGGAAAGGGAAAGAGGCAAACCATGAGAGACTCTTGAATGCTGACAAAAACTGAGGACTGATGGATGTGGGGGGGAGGGAGGATGGGCATGGAGGAGGGCACTTGTGGGGATGAGCACTGGGTGTTATGTGGAAACTAATTTGACAATAAACTATTTGTAAAAAAATAAATAAATAAAAATAAAAGAAAATGAGAAATAAAAAAAAGAAAGTGTAAAAAAAATACATAGAAAACTAATGTATCAACTGTTTCATTTGTTTTTACTTGTCTTTAACGACCTCAACGCTACTGGAATTACTAAAAGTTAGTTCTGTGGCTACATATCTAAGAGGCCAATCTAAGAGAGTTAGTGCTGAATGATACTTTTAGTCTCAGCACCTACAACTAATGTAGCAATTCCTTCTGCATTTTGTATGATTTGACTTGAAGGAAAAGCACTACTGATTTTTGAAACAGAACTGCCAAGGCAATAAACTGTCCACAATGTTTAACAAAGATGGGTGACAGTTTATAGCAACGTTAATATTTTATAATGACATGTATTTAATTAAGGAGACTAATAAAGACCTGAACTATTCATGAGTAATCTGAAATTTTCTGACATAAAGACCCCAAAGTCTTGTAGTAGAAACCCCACGTTCAGAAGGATGGCAATAGAGTAGAAAGCCAGTGGCCTGGAGTTTGGAAATCTGGGCTCCTGGTTTGGTCACGAAGTCACTTCGCTGAGCTTGTTTCCTCATTTATTTAATGAAGGAGTTGAAACAGATAATTTCCAAGATCTCAACAAGCTTCCAAGTCAAACCTTGCCTAGAGGCTGTCAGACACACACTTCAAAGAGAAGTAGCCTATTTCTCCTCCTGGCTTTTCCACAAGTGCATGGAGGCCTCCTCTAACTGCAACATCCTAACTGAGGCAATCTGAAGTCTGGAGTGCCTTTCTAACACTGAATGGCCAGAGTTTGTGGGTTCTAGACAAAACCACAGACACTGAAGATGGCACCATCCCTGCTCACTCTAGAGAATGAGACACCTTAACCTGGTGAGGTGATGGGGGAAACTACACTTTCAGTTGTTTTAAAAAGTTGTTTAAAAAGTATTATTATTACTACCATCTACTTTTAAAATGTTCTCCATGTTTAAAAAGTTTTTAATATTTATTTATTTTTGAGAGAGAGAGAGCAAGCATGAGTCGGGGAGGGGCAGAGAGGGACACAGATCTGAAGTAGGCTTCAGGCTCTGAGCTGTCAGCATGGAACCTGATGTGGGGTTCAAACCCAAAAACCGCAAGATCATGACCTGAACTGAAGTCATGATGGACTGAGTTACCCAGGTGTCTCAAAGTGTTCTCCATGTTTTAATCATATCATGTCCCAAGAACTTGTATCCAAGGACACCTCTTTACAAATCAAGTAAAGTAAATAAAGCAAAGAACAGTATAAATATGGATAGGAATGGGAGTTTTCCAAATTACTAGCAACTTTTTTTTCTTTTATAATTAAAAATGTGAACAGAAGAGAGGGGCAGAGGGGGAGAGAGAAAATCTTAAGCTGACTCCACACTCAGCACAAAGCCTGATGTGGGGTGCAATCCCATAACACTGGGATCATGACCTGAGCTGAAATCAACCTATTGACATTGAGCTGACATTCAACCTACTGAGCCACCCAGGCACTGCACCAGTAACTTTTTTATATTTTATAAACAAGATTTTATTTTCCTCTTGCTTTAGCCTGGTTTTGTGTGCGAAATATGGGCTCCCTTCCCCTTCAAGCACACTGCATGGAGGTCCTTGACACATACATATAAAAAACAGTCACTTAAAAATTGTGAAAGAGAGCCTTGAAGCTCTCTGTGCTACAGAATTTGAGAGAAATCAAATACTCCCAGCTGAGGGTCTCAAACTTTGCAGCCTCTCGTGTGGAGTTGTTCTGAGGTCCATCCTAGTTGAATATCTGCTGATCCTGATAAAGAAAAAATTAAGTTCTTAACAACTTTGGAAACTCCCATGCCTCACAGTGGCTTTAGAATGTCATGTAAGGCCCACTTTTATTTATAACAAGGCTGTGAAAGTTAAAAAACAAATGTTATGTAAAAAAGATTATGAAATAATGGATAGGTAAAACTGTCGGAAGAAGCACGGTTCCAAGTAAATGTGATAGCTATTTTCAAGGATATATAAAAGCTCAGAGCCTTTTAAATACTGCTTCTAATTTAATCAAGCAATTAATGTTCAATTTAGAAAACACAATCTTTCTAATGTGTGGAATTGCACCAAGATTTAGATAGGAATTACACAGTTTTAAAAGAAAAGGAAGGGAAAGGAAAAGAAATTGAACTGAAATACAAGCTGCTGTGAAATAAAGATTATCTATTTCAGTTCCTGAATGATATTGGCAGACCAATCACTGATTATCATTAGTGTCAGGATTTCTTGGTGATACTAACATTGAACAGGAATAGAAAAAGTGAATATTAATATTTGTCTTTTATTTTTGGTTGGGTGTGTATTCTTTATTCAGGAAAACACAGACTTCACAATGTGACACACACTGAACCCTTTTGTTCGCTTCGGATTTAACTTAGAATGTAAGTTACCTATCAAAACACATGGAATCCATTATGGAAAGAACAGAAAATGTATTTTGGTTGAAAGTAATTAGGGAAGCTCTCAAATCATCACAAAAAGAAATAGTAGACAATGATTGGGGAGGAAAAGAACTGTCTGTAGGGAACTGAACTTTACATATGGAAGCTGATCCACACAAATTTACTGTATGATCTATAGATCTGCATGATCAGGAACAGTAAATGCAATACAAAGTTTTCTAGCCGGAGAAGTATGTTACCATGGCTGGCGCTGGGAGCAGAATACTTGGCACTGGACTTGCGGATGATATTCTCGTGGATCTGGGACCACTCACTCTCATTGTTGCACCTGCAACAGAAAGACAGGTGTTATGGTTCTCAAGGCTTTTAAACATCTGCTCTGACATTCCAACCAAAACATTAACTTTGAAGGGAAACTTCAAGCTCACTTTCCTGTTTTACTAAATTAGACAAGGCTTGTTTTCTGTTAAGGCCCGTGGAAGATTCACACTTGGGCAAAGGGTAGAAACTCTAAAATGAATGTCAACAAATATTTTTAATTGGCAAAATATCCTATTCTTTAAAGTAGCAATCTCCCACATCACAAGATTTTCCCTCCTTTTCCTCCTCTTTTTTTTTTTTTTTTTTTTTTTTTTTGAGAGAGAGAGAGAGCATGAGCAGCAGAGGGGAGAAAGAGAGGGAGACAGAGGACCTGAAACAGGCTCCAGGCAGCTCTGAGCTGTCAACACAGAGCCCGACCTGGGGCTTGAACTCATGGACTACAAGATCATGACCTGAGCTGAAGTAGGATGTTTAACTGACTGTCACACAGGTATCCCTAAGCTTTTCTCTTCTAGTCCCTCACACCACACACATACGCATACACAAACACACACAAAGTAGGTTCCAGAGGCAAGTTTTTGAGAGGGGAAATAACAGTTTCTCTAGACAAATACTACTGTTTAGGAACTGTCATGCCTTGTACTGTCTTTGTAGCATCATTCAATAGGCTTTATACTGGCTCCAGAGGAAAATCCCATTAAGCTCAGGGCAATGTGGATATTTGCTTGTGGCTGTTTCAGCCAGGCCAAGAGAGGAAGAAAAGTTTAGGAGATTAGTGAGTTTGGTCCACTGTGAAATCCTCTATAGTCAAGAGGAAGGAAGGATTAGAAAAAAAGGCTGAAATGTCTAAACATATAAAGTCCTTTCCTAGGGGCTTCAAGATTGGATCAAAAGAGAGAATAGAGGAACACCATGGCACCTCTGTTAGTGTCTCTAGCGGGTGATTCCAAGACAGCTGCAACCATACAAGTACTTGGTGTAGTTTACAAACAGACACCAGGGATTCCTTATCCTGATTCAGACACCTTGATGAAACAAGTGAAATTAGATTAGGGTCATCTCTTGAAAACTCCATGTGACAAGAGTCTCCATAGCCTTGGCACTACCTCTTTCCCTGCTACACGGGAAGGTATGGCCTTCCAAAGATTAAGGCCCACACACAAATGAAAACTCACAGGATTTTTCCATGGTTACTCAAAAGTGTACAGTCCAGCATACCCACTTAAATAGGAAACCCGAGTGAGAGTTTTATCATGTGAAATCATATGGTATTTGACTTTCAGTCTGACTTATTTTACCTAGCATAATGCTCTCTAGGTCCATCCATGTTGTCACAAATGGAAGATCTCATCTTTTTTTTTTTTTTTAAAGCTGCATAATATTCCACTTGTATGTGTACACACGTGTGCGTGTGTACCATATCTTATTTATTCATCTATCGATGGACACACCTGGGTTGCTTCCACATTTTGGCTACTGTAAATAATGCTGCAATAAACACAGGGGTGCACATATCTTTTTTTAAAAATTTTTATTTATTTATTTATTTTACAAATAGTTTATTGTCAAGTTGGTTTCCATATAACACACAGTGCTCATCCCCACAAGTGCCCCCCTCCATGTCCATCTCCCCCGCAAACCCATCAGTCCTAAGTTTGTTCTCAGCATTCAAGAGTCTCTCATGGTTTGCCTCTCTCCCTTTTTGCAAATGACATATCAGACAAAAGGTTAATATCCAAAATCTATAAGGAACTCACCGAACTCCACACCTGAAAAACAAACAACCCAGTAAAGAAATGGGCAGAAGATATGAACAGACACTTCTCCAAAGAGGACATCCAGATGGCCAAAAGACGCACATATCTTTTTGAATTAGCACTTTTTGTTTTCTTTGGGTAAAAAACCAGTAGTGGCATTATTGGATCATATGGTATTTCTGTTTTTTGTGGTGAGCACAACATAATCTATAGAGAAAATGAATAATTACGCTGTACACCTGAAACTAATATAATGTTGTGGGTCAACTACACTCAAATAATCAAAAAAGATATCAAAGAGTAAAGAACCAAAAACAAATAGTAAAGACTTAACAACAGAAAAAGAGTTGTATCGTGTGCCATCCAGGAGTGTGAAGTACACGCAATGTGAAGCACAACTAAATAAAAGGGTTTGTATTGAAGCCATTCAGAAATAAAGGAAATTAGAAATTAGCTTAATTTTATTACTCAGTCAGTGGCTCTTCGGACTCCCGAGCCAGTATAAATGGGCCTCAGTTACTTGGAGATGTTGTAAAGAATGATCAAAGATGAGGTTCTTATAGTCCAGAGCTGTGAGGATAATTTCCTACTTATAGAATTCCTTCCAAACAAAGGAAGAGGGAGAGTGTTTTTTAAGATGAGCACTTGTGAAATAGCAACTCAGTTGGAAATCAAAAGTGAGAGGTGCTGGCAGCAGCACATCCAGCCCTTCCTGTCTGACGTGCACACTGTCTCATCTCTTCCAAGCAGTCAGTACAACAGAGTGCCCAGCTGGTGAGGATTCAAAGACTTGTCTTGCTGTCAGTTTTTTTTTTTTTTTTTGTCACTTTCTAGGTTTACAAGATCAGTAGTTACTTTCTTCAACAGAAATCTGACTATAGTTTGTCATAAATAACATACTCCCCCTCTCACTTCAGAAGAAGAGTCTTGAAAATTAACTCCCTCCCTCCAATAGATGGTGTCACTTCAGCATTTCTCCAATAAAATACTACTAAAGTAGTATTGTAGAGATAGTGCTTTGTCAATCACATCCACAGTGCCAATGTGTATTACCTCATTCACCTCTCTGCTTCATGTCTTGGTTCAGCCATTATCATCTCTCCTCTGGACAAGTGTAATCACCTCCTAACTGATCTTGCAAATGTCTCCTTTTCCTGAATACCAAGGGGCTACTTAAATCATCTGAAACTAAGTGGATGTAGTGTCATCAGCATATTTTAACCAATCACTGGGATATTTTGTAAGGAAAAATTATAAATGTAAGCATTTATTAAATAATCAAATGAGTTGTGATTATAATGAAGCATGATAATGTTAATGCCCAATCAAATTAATATTTAGAGCATGATTACTGATGTTGGTAGTTAATTATAAGACACATGAGGGATTATGATCAAAAAGAGGTCTGTATGCCTCTGTAGCAGTCCGCTCTCCTCACTGAAGAGATAACCAGCACAGCACTTCAACTTCTACATGTCGAGGGGCTTTATGAAAGGGATCAGACAGAGACACGAGAGGTTTTTGGTTTTCTATGTGGGATTCCCAAGCATCCAGAAGCACCAGAGCAGGTGTGCAGGCTCTGTTCAACAGAGTTCAGAGGACTCTTCTCATTCACTCATGTACCAGAGCACATGTTAGCATTTGCCTCTTCCCTACCACCTCCTTAACTTCTAAATTTCTGTGTTTATGATGGGTATTCACCCAATTCTCTTCTCATCTTTCCCCAAGGTGAGCAACACAAAAAAGTTTAAGAAATTAAAAAAATATTTTTGATGTTTTTTAAACATTTATTTCTGAGAGAGAGAGACAGCATGAGCAGAGGAGGGTCGGAGAGAGAGGGAGACACAGAATCTGAAACAGGCTCCAAGCTCTGAGCTGGCTGTCAGCACAAAGCCCGATGCGGGGCTCAAACCTACAAACCGTGAGATCATGACCTGAGCCGAAGTTGGACGCTTAACTGACTGAGCCACTCAGGTGCCCCATGTTTAAGAAATTTTAAAGAGTTGTTTGTAAGACCTTTAAGTCTGCATTTTTAGAAGGGGCCTACTATAGGTAGGCAACAGTTAGGGTATATTTCAATATTTTATTTCCCTTAATTCTGTAAGATAGGTATTGCCATGTTCATTTTACTGAGAACAGTGAAATGAAGCTTGGGTCTAAACATAGGTCTCCCTGGTCCCCAAAGCTGGTGCAGAGAAAAAGAATCTAAAGAGTACTGTAGCCCTGAAAACCTTACTCCTACACTAGGCTTCGGGGTACTTGTGCCCCTGATGTCAGTCAACATTCCCAATTTGTCTCTACCTAACTGCAACTATCATGACTACGGTTTAAAACTGAATTTAGTGCAAATACTCCATATTAAAATTCTTTCTCATTGGGTGTGACCTGCTTTATTTTGGCCTTTATTTTGTTGAAAGTCCTAAAAAGCTGGAAAATAGGCAACAACCTACAGATTTAAGAACACTACTGATGGTGACCACTGTTTCATGTAGTCCTTACTCACGGTGCAGAAGAAGAGAGAAATATCCATAAGAATGGAGAAAAACAGCACATATTTCTATAAAAATGGCCTATTTGAACAGAATCTCTAAGACCAGTCTGACACAAATAAACCAATTTGATATATTCTGGATATGTACTCATAGCCATGAGAAACTGTATTTTTATTTATGAGACATTTAAGCTATTTCTTTTTTTTACAACTTATATATGTTTATTTTGGCACAAACTATTTAAAAAAAGACAAATAGCGCGCGCGCACACACACACACACACACACACACACTTTAACAGGAATACTTAATTTAACTTTTCTTTCCAGGTGATAGAAGGGATTCTTCCAAGGGTAACAGTTTTGCCCCTATTAGTCACTTTCCTGGGAGAAGAAGTGACTTCTTTGGCCAATGCTTTTAGAAGAAAGACCAGGGCATGAACATCTCATTTCTGCCTCTCCCCTCTTTTGGGACCAACCTATTTGCTGAAAACACACAATCCCTCTGTGCCACCACAGAGGCTCCACATTGATGATGAGTCTAATAGTCTAATTCAGGGTTCGTGTTAATCACAAGTTGTAGCGGGTTGAATGGTGGCCCCTAAAAAGATATATCCATGTGCTAATCCCTGGAACCTGTGAATGTTACCTTATTTGGAAAAAGGGTCTTTGTAGATATAATTAAACTAAGGATCTTGAGATCAGTAGATAATCCTGGATGATCTGGGTGAGTCCAACTTCAATGACAAATGTCCTTAG